ACAGACAGAAAAATGACAGAAATATTCCATATTTTACACACTGTTCGACAAACAATTAAAGGCCCTGCGAAATGCCGTCAGTCACGGACTGCACGGTCCCTGCACGGCCCGCGTGACGGGCCAGCGTAAAGCAGATTATCATGTGCGTAGCTTGTTTGGGCGGCTGATGGTCCGTGTGCCGGCTGGGTGGACCGGCTCGCATCGGTCCGGCATAGCCGGGCACAGCGCTTCCAGCGGCGGTGTGATTCGGACAGGATTCGGTGACGGGCCTGTCACAGTCACTCATACCGATCTCGTCCGACAGCACTGCAAGGTGGTGGTGTACGACGTGCCGTACCGCAGCCATCGCGAGGTTACTAAGAAGGAGTGCGGCCAGCCCGCCTGAGCCGCCTCCGCTGACCTGGCCAGCCCGCCTGAGGCGTTTCCGCTGACCTGGCCTGACCGCCGAGCGCGTTGTCCGCCGTGTCGGGTGGACGTGGTACATCTGACGGTGGGAGCGGCGCGGCGCTCCTGTGACCTCGCTGCGGCCAGGAGCGATTCCTTTGATTCATATCTTTGTAACCGACCGTCGATGATTTTGCATTCCTTGGCATCTTTGTCGTGGATATTATTGTAAGTTTTTCAATCATGTCATGGGTTTCCAATGATCCTGTGAAGAAGTGGTGCTGATTTCTCAGTAACTACGCTTGTGCCACTGGTTTTAGTTATGATACCGGTTGATGACTTAAGTAAAGTGCAGCTTTTGCGATTCCTACATGTTCTACGGTGCGCGTTGACGTCTTTCAGCCCGGCAGATATGCTTAACACAAAATACAGTATTTTTAATGATCTGTTCTTTCTGACAGGCAGAATTCGTAGGGATAAGGGTAGGTCTAATTTACAACGGTTGGTCTAATCTGTCTCGTTGGTTCCTCATGTAGCAGTTGCAAGTGTACCTACGTACAATACATACTTCTAGACCCAAAACAAATAGATGTATTCAAATTGGTATAAATGCATGTAAATGTGTTTTGAAATTGTAGTTTCCGGGGTAAAGACAAGATCGCAGTCACCCAATCCATTGTTAGTCCTAACGAACATCGTGCTGTATAACGCATCAGCAGGGTCTGCCCGCGCGGATGGAAGGTCTGCCGACGTTGGGTGGAAAAGCCTTGGCCGTCGCCCCTCCGGCGGACGGTGCGCTGTGATCTGACTGGAGAACAGGACCGTATGATTTGTTGTTAGAGAATGGTAACACGTGATCTGCTGGGCACACTCGTGTTTACCACTGCTCATCCGGACAATGAATTATGCCTCTCATCATGTCGAATGATTCATAAATAGATGAACAAAAGCCTAACGCTAATCGCCGGCAAAAATGCCAGCGGAGGATTAGCGGCAGCGCTATGCAACGCAATGGAAAATGGTCGCGAGCGAATGATAAAATATCAACAGGATAGATATCGAAATACATGCTCCAGTGAAATGGAAAACCCAACTTTGACGCTAACGCTAAAAGACGTCGGAGCTGACTAGGCATTTGTGCATGACCCAAACATCCATGACATGACTTCTATAATTCCGCCAGTAAGACCACCCACTCCAACCGAACCTGACTGCCTTACCCTTGTCTGACGTAGCACAACAATTCAGTGGTACGAATAGAAACATTTGACGTAGTTATGCGCTTGTTGTTGGCTCGCAAGACGCACCGCATGCCCGCTGCATTTTGACCCATTTCCGCATGAAATCGGTCAGTCCCGTATGATCATGCAGTCATTTAGCCTGGAGTATTTAAGCTGGCATTGCCCGGGCTCCTCAGCGGCACACCATTAACCTGGCATTGACCGGGCTCCTCATCGGCCACACCAGTAACCTGGCATTGACCGGGCTCCTCAGCGGCACATCATTAACCTGGCACTGACCGGGTGCTCCTTAGCGGCACACCATAACCGGAAAGCAGCAAATTTGGGCTCCCTGATTATTTTCAAGAACGGCCCGGGGCCGAATTAAGAAATTCACAGCACAATCGATAACGCCGTGGTGTACAGGTTCAGGCCACACAACAATCTTAAGTTTAAGTCTTTATCAGGTCAGAGGTGAAGGGCAGTAATATAAAAATATACTTAAGAGTATCTGACCGCTCTCACAACGCATTTTCACCCGAGGCGTATCGCATGATGTGGAATCATCACGCCCTGATCACACATGCTGCGTAGGAAGGTATCTAATGCTACGTGCGCCACAGCGGGCCGAGGACCAAGGTCATTTGCCGTGCAAATATGAGCTGAAGCATTGGGCTGTACGTCTACTTCAGTCTATTTATTCCCATCATATTACAATCATCTAAACGCAAAGTGGAAGGGTTTAGCCGCAGCTATGGGCATGAGACATGCGCAAAAGCTCCTACTTCATCATAAGCCGTCTCAGAGTTCAAATGCATAACCTGGGTGGTGAATAAGCGGTTGGATCGATTTTCTCATTGTTTGCGATGGATCAGTACTGCCAAGAGCGCAGCCTGCCATCCTGCAACCCCGCTGCCAGTCACGTAGCCGTCGGCTCGGTTGCGAAGCTAACAGACGGCCCCCGCCGCCCGGTCACCGCGGCACTGCAGCAGGCCTGAGCCCCGCCGCCGCCGCCGCGGGCCCGGACCCACCTGGGCACGGGGCAACATGTGCTGGGATGCATTCCAAGCTAGAACTCGGTCATCGTTACAGATAATTGCTTTAAACTTGGTACAGGCATCCGGCATAGTCACGTTTATGACATCTATCTCTCATGTTCTCATAGTTTTGAGCTTCAAACCAAAAATGTTGAATACTTTTCATCAATATTTTTGGTATTTGGCGTGCGAGTATTTCAATGTGCAATATTGAAAAGACGCAACAAGCATATGAATGACGGGATCAATTGACTAACATCTCTCATGCACAGGCATCAAATATGATCTTTCGTTCGGTTTCGTGTTAATTTTTCTACGGCTATGCACTTTTGCAAGAAAGGGGAGATATGATGTCGCTCTGACACTTGATCTTTTATTGTCTCATAGTTGTTTTGGCACAAGGCGTACAACTCATCGATTGACAGCCTTTAAAAATTTCGCAGCGATATCTCAGGACATTTTTGAATCACTGGGAATATTGAGCAAGATGGTAGATCTGACCCTCGGTCAATACCGGGCCACAATGTTACCGTGCGATCCTTTGCCTTTTCGTATTTGCTGGTATCAATCTTTGTTCTATGGATATTTTGATGCTGTTTTTTATTTTCTGTGTCAGTATTTATACGTGTCGATATTTTACTTCCTGCCGTTCTTAATATTTTCTATTCCATGGCTTTCAGTTCCATGTCAAAACCGTTCATATGTTTTTCGTCCATACTCTGCCAAGCGATTCATTTCCATTTCGTGGTTTGTCCCTGGGGATATTTTGGCTGTCGGTGTCTGGCCATTCGATCATTTTTCATTTCCACATTTCTCGGTCAGCTTAACCGCTGCCGATATTTTGCTGTCAGCTATTTGTGCCCGATACTTTTTTGTTCGATCACCTGCGTTTTTTGTCTAGTAAGGTAGGTATGAGTGCGGCACTGCACACAGTGCATCGCTTCACATCGTCATACGGGTGGTTTCGACACAAGGCATAACTTCACCGCAATAGTTGGAGCCTTGTGTCTCTTTTGGGATTCCTTGTACCCCCACGTTTTCTCCACGCACCCCCTAATTGCGGCGTTAAGTGACCAAAAACCCTATTAAGGCGTTGAAACCCGCGAAACATTCACATGGCAGAAATCTGGTCTCGTCTCCCTGTTTGTTTCGAGAAGGTTCGGATTCGTTCACCGCGTTGGCACTTTGACGCGGTTTTAGCAGAACAAACGTTGTTGCACAACCACCAACGTGGCCCAAAATATGGCACTTAGTCACACGCATGATCGATCCTAGGGTCAACTCCACCTCAGTGCGAACGCCGACAGCCAGGTGCGCTCGTATGCTACTTCCCCGCATACTCGCCGTTCGTTTACTCGCCGGCTCGCACCTGAGTTTGCGGATCGTTAGCCTTGAATCTGTGTGCTCGCGCTGCCGCTGCTAATGGCGGGCAGTTTGCCCTATTTTGGCGTGCAAACAAGGACAGTGGTAACTGGGTCTTTCCCTTGCATCAGCTGCTAAAGGCACGACTCTTTATTTTCCTCGCGCTGTTAGCGTCTGGCTGAATCCGTAGAATCGGGCTGGTGAAATCATTAGGGAGGTTATGTTATTAAAGGGAGTGTTTCACGTTTTAAATGCCCTCACAATGAAATGAAGCATGCTCGTGCCCCTTTGCACATTACCAAAATCCATGTCCGCAATGCATCGTCACCTCCAGTCGCCGATGCAGAAAAGCAGCTCATGTCCGAGTGCCGTACTGCACTGGCTTCGGGCGGTCATCAACACTGGCCTCGGGCGGTCATCAACACTGGCCTCGGACGATCGTCAGCACTGGCCTCGGGCGATCATCAGCACTGGCCTCGGGCGATCGTCAGCACTGGCCTCGGGCGGTCGTCAGCACTGGCCTCGGGTGGTCACCTGCACTGGGAGCTGGAACCGCGCCGGGAGGGCCTGTCAGCCCGTTTCAGCCCGTTTGACCTTGTTTGACCCGAAGGTCATAGCCTAGAAACCAAAAATTGATCTATGTTGCTTTACGTACAGGCCAGCACACCCTGTGAAATTTGTGTTTCTAGCTCTTTTAGTTCCTGAGATCTCAGGAGGGTCAAATTGACCTCCACCTGAGCGAAGGGCATCCAAACGGCCACCCGGGCGTGAGTTAGCTTCTCCAAGGCGTTACGTGCGGCACTTGAAATATTTCGATGGTCACCTTGTTGATGTGTTCAAGTTTAAAGGGCGATACCTCATCAGCCACAATCATGGAAAGCTGGCTTACATGAAATGATGCACATTTCTTTTTTTTAGCTCTGTATCTGTCTTGCCATATTGCCATGTTGCCAAGAGCCATGTTGAAAAGTTTGGTATCAAAAATGCAGGTTTCGGCCGGCATGCATGCACCGAAAATGTTGAATTTTTGAACTTTCTTTGCAGTTGATCAAGATTGACAATTAATGTCAAAAGTTTTAAAAAACGTTTGACCAATACTTGACCATTGAAAAACCTGAGTACCGCCTGATCCCTGCTTTCGGTTGACTTCGATGCCAAGTTTCGCCAGCCTGCCACCCTCCGTGCCTGCAGAATCTCCTCAAATCCAGTAAATTTGTCGTCCCCCAGTACATGGCCAGCACCGTGCCCATGGCCTCGCCCGAGGATCAGTGTGTCGCCCGAAACATACGCGCCGTCACGGCGCGTCGGCCGCCACTGACATCCAGGGACTTGTGACGTTTACTTTGGCCAGGGTGGTGCGCAGTTACGCTTGCCACGGTCTTCTCAACCCTCAGCTTCCGATATGTTGGTGCTGCGCGGCAGGGCAGGTCGCATACGTGTTTGTATCGTCTTTGATATATGCTACGTTGTTTTTATAGCCTAGCCCCAAGTTAAGATGGCATGGCTCTACAAGGCAAGGGTGGTGTCCGATCTCTCTGGCTTTGACCAGTTTGCCGTCCGGGCAGGTGAAGCTATCCGTCCCTTTGCGCCACTCCGGCGTTGGGGACCCCTCGCCACCACGATGTTGTTCATGTCTTCTGAGTTACTAGTGGGGGCTTCTTTAAATCCTTCATGGGCATCTTTCCCAGTCTCTATCTCCCTGCGGGAGGGCGTGGCATGTCCCGTGCCTGGACCAGTCTTCGCTTCCTCTCTTGTCTCCCACGTTCGATACCATCGGGGCCCCAACGACGGCCACTCCCCCCTCGAGCTCATTGTTACCAAGTCA